GTTTAGGGTTTAGGGTTATTATACTATAGTTATAAGAAGAAACCCTAAGGAATAGTATAGGTAATTGTGTAGGGGCCTTAAGAACTAAAATAGGGTTTTGGGCGTTCCTTTAGAGGGTTCCTTCAAAAGGGTTGTATACGGGCTACTAGGAGGGCTTAGGGTTTGGGGGCCTTGATAATCAGAATAGGGTTTCGGGGTTATATGATACCATAACTATACGAAGGAACCCTAAGGAATATTATTGGTAAATTTTGCATATGTTATACTAGAGTTATAAGAAGGAATCCTAAGAAATAGTATAGGTAACCATTTAGGCTTCTATAGTAAACAAAGCAATGGCAAACCACCGAACCAATCATCTGCCATGGCTCACATCCACGGTCGCAGGCGCGGTTTCCTCCAGACTCGAAAATCCAAACGGTAAAAAACATAAAGAGCTTGCTGTTATCTACGTCGTGACCACCATTATCTTCAGTATCATCATTACCCGTACCACTTGTGGACACCACCAGCAACATGGCAAAATTACAGTCTTTCGATTACCATAGAACAAGGTGACACCTGCATTACCGGTTCGGCATCATCATCAGCATCAACTGGGCCTTCAGTGTGGCAAAAACCGCATCACTGGGATGAATTCTTATCACAATTTTCGCCGCCAGCTATAACACAACACACTAATCAGGAACATCAGCAGAATCGTCTCCTCATCAGCATGTTCTCCTGCAACTTCATCTTCATCATCACAATCACTATTGCCATCGTCATCTCCGTGACCACCAAAGCCATGATCAGCAGCGACACCGTCATAGTTATCATTGCTAGCGAAAGGCAGCCAGCGGCAGCGGCAGCAGCAGCAGTTGCTCTGTCAGCAACAGCATCACCGAGCTGCCGCCACGATCAGCATCACAATCATCATTCTCATCATTATCAGCAGCATCACCACCGTCGCCATCATCACCGGCAGAAGCAGCATCGGGGTCATCGATATCAACATCAGCAGCAGCAGCAGCAGCAGCAGCAGCAGCAGCAGCAGCATCCTCCGAACCATCATCCGCACCATCATCATCATCATCATCATCATCATCATCATCAACACCAAAGAATCACTACGCAACAACCATCCAAATTGATGACAGAGCTCGTCGACAGCCGCGAAACTGATAACGCGAAACTGATAACCGCTTCACGTGGGGACCTATTTCGTGCGAATCCGGGGACTTAGCGCCATAAGCTTCCACGCTTTTATGTTCCCTGATCCCAAAGGGCGAGCTGGCAGAAATGGCCTTGGGACTCTACACCGTAACCCTTGAAACAGGTATCAAGCTACATTCTACTGTCTGTGATTCTTGCTTGAAGGTTGGGCGGCTGCCCCGTGCCACTAAAACCCTATTTAAGGGCTCAGGGGCTTGGTTAGCAGGACTATGATTGAGGTTATTAGTCCCTAAACCCTAAACTATCCTAACTACATCCGCTACTTATAACCTTAACTTACCAAGTCCCCTGAACCTTTAAGCAACCCCTAAGCCCCAACCCCTAGAGCCCTTACAGAACCCTCATACCCTAAACCCTAAACCTAAACCTTAAACCCCAGAAGGACCCGTTGTAGGAATCCTGAGGCCTTAAGCCGAAACTTCTCAGCAGCATTAGGGTTTGGGGTCTAGGGTTTAGGGTTTAGGGGTTTAGGACTTAGGGTTTAGGATCTAGGGTTTCGCGTTTAGGATTTAGGGTTTAGGGTTTCGGTGTTTCGGTGTTTAGGGCTGTAAGGGGTTTTGGCGTCCCAGGGCTTAGGGTTTTAAGCTTTTGGGTTTTGGGTTTAGGGGTTCAGGGTTTAGGGCTTCCCTAAACCCTAAACCCTAAACCCTAAACCCTAAACCCTAAACCCTAAACCCTAAACCCAAACCTGGAAAAATCGGACCGGGGCAAGACTCGGTCCGTGGTGCCTTAGGGGTCCTTCTAAAGTGGCTTTTAAGCGTTACTACAAGGGCTTAGTAAAGGAGCCCTAAAGATTAGAATAGGGGCTTTGAGGGTATATCGGTTTAGGGTTTAGGGTTTAGGGTTTAGGGTTTAGGGCTTAGGGTTACTATTGTTATGGTCAGGGACCTTCTGGAATGATACTGGTAGTTATTTTAGCTTCTAAATAACACACAAGGTGTTCTTGCAGTGAATGCGGACACTCTAAAACCCTTATAGAACCCTTTCTGAACCATGATAGAACGGTTTTTTCAACGAGCCCCTTTCAAGGAACCCCTGAAAGGAAGCTCATAAAGTTTTAAAGGAGGATAATATAGGGTCCTTAATAGCTAGAATAGGCTTTTGGGGTATAGTGCACTCTAGTTGTAATAAGGAACCCCCAAAACTAGTCTACGTAATTATTTAGGCCCCTGTATTCTCCCTTTCCAGCAACCCTTTCCCCCTTGCAAGGAACCACTTTCAAGGAACCCCTTTCAAGGAGCCCGGTTTAGGGTTCAGGGTCCCGTTAAAAAGACCCTTGTGCGAATCCGCTTCATGGAACCCTTTCAAGGAACCCCCTTGAAAAAGAAGCTTTTCAAGGAACCCCTGAAACGGGTAGCACAGGGTTCTATAATAGGTTTTAGGGTTTAGGGTTTAGGGTCAATAGGGTCCCTTCTCAGGGTTGCGCAGTGTGTTGTCTCAAAAAAAGCTCCCTTAAAGGAACCGTTAACAGAACCCTTTAGGAACCGGCAAAGGAAGACCTAGAACAAAGCAACACTTATAGGAACCTGTATAGGAAACCTTAGAGGAAGACCTAGAATCAGGCAACTCCGAAACGAAACCCTAAAGGAACCCTTAAGCTAAGACCTAAAGAACCCTAAACCCTAAACCCTTAAACTAAGACCTGAAGAAAACTCTAAAGCAACCCTTGGAGGGGACCTTTAAGAGGACCTAACATGAAGCAACCCTTGCAGGGGACCTTTAAGGGAAGTCAGACCCAAAATCCTAGACGGTTTAGGGTTTAGGGTTTTGGGTTTACCCTAAACCCTAAACCCTCCTCCACGACGAAGAGGCTAAAGATCAGCAGGAGGCCCGAGAGTCCACTCAACAGGAAGAAGGGGCACCGCCTCCGAAAAGCTTGACGATTTCGGCATTTGGAGGGCTTGGGGGATGTACGGTTTAAGGTTTTGGGGTCTAGGGTTTAAGGTGTGGGATTCAGGGTTTAGGGCCCTAAACCCGAAACGAATTTCGGGTTCTGGGAGTTACGCTTAACCCTAGACCCTACGGCGGTCGGTCCTTTTTGGGGTTTTAAGGCTGTGACCCAAAGCATTCCACGGTATAATTGTCCTAAACCCTCAAGCATTTCTTTCCTAAGGGTTAAACCCTAAACCCTAAACCCTAAACCAAACCCCCACCCTCCAAAACAGCCTCTCCAGGCTCGAACGATTCGGAACGATTCGGAAACCCGCGGGTGCCTGATTTGAACAGAGCCCGCTGGTACTAGGGTTCAGGGTTTAAGGGCGCTGTAGCAACAAAACCAAGCCCCAAACCCCGACTTTGCTATGCCTCAAATCCGAAAACTAAGCCCGAAACTCCCTGAATCCAAAGCCCTGCACCTAAATCCCCTAAACCCTTCCAAGTAGCCTTAAAGGAACCCCTCAGGAGCTCTTAAAGGAACGCCTTCCGAAACTAGCTCTCTACAGCCTTAAAGGAACCCAGAGAGCCCAATACCCCTTAAATAAGGAAAAGACTTAAATTATAGGGGCCTTTATACTATGATTTTTGGTATATACCTGAATTAAGGGGTATTGGGCTCTCTGGGAACCCTTGGAGGAAGCCCATGCTCCCAGCACCCCAGGGGGCGCCAGCCGAAGGCGTCGGCTAAGAAGCCCCCGGCTGCAGGTGCAGCCAGCGGGCCCAGCTGCCTTCCATGAGGTTTAGGGTTTCGGTTTAGGGTTTAGGAATTAGGGTTTAGGGTTTAGGCTTTAGCCTCAGAGTTTAGGCTTTAGGGTTTCTGGCTCAGAAATTAAGGCCTTCAATGAAGGCGTTGCGGTTTGATAAATGTTTCATAAGGCGGTTTAGGGGTGGTTATATCGAAGTGTTGCGGGGTGCATCAAGAGGTTTTCAACAATATACCTTACAGGGCAGAGGGCTGAATACGGAATACATGGAGGCTGTACTTTTGAAGATGGCAAAAGCCCTTTATCAAGCACTATGTCTTGAAATACAGAGGACATCTTAGTATGGTGTAAGGTCGATCCTGTAATGCAGGATTTTTGGGACTATTCGGGTCCAGGATCTGGGTTGGAAGTTACAGGGAGCAGCAGCACAAGAAAGCATGATACCAGTGATCCCTGTGATGTCTATGATGCTTGAATAGGGCTCAAAATTCAGGGAGGTTTTGGGGTATGTAAGTCATTAGGTAGGCTCATTAGTTCTAGGAATAAGCTTGCAAATTTGTGGGTAAGTAGGTCGTTAAGTAAGCTGTCAAGTTTTTGGGTGCAAGTAGGTTATTAAGTAAGATGTGCGATTGCAAATACCCCAACCCCCCATTCTGAAATCAAACCCTAAACCCTAAACCCTAAACCCTAAACCCTAAACCCTAAAACCCTAAATGCTAACCCTTTCACCGCCTTTCACCTGTTCATTTAGGGCTGCCAATCCATTAGGTGGGGCTGAAAGGTTCCCGCGTTTCGGGTTTGGGTTTGGGGTTTACGGCTTGGGGTCTGGGATTTTAGTTGAGTTCATGATTGTTTTAGTTTAAGACATCAGATTGAAAGATCAAACCCTTGCATCGCTCAGGCTTTTTTCGTTTTAAAGGCGTCTTCTAGGGCGATTATCACGTATATATGTAGGGGATTAAGGGCTTTATGGAATCAACACCGAATCTACGAAGACCGGCATCTATCAAAAAGCAAGCGCCTAAGGCAGTCAGCCCCATAAAACCCCATAAAAACCGCGCAGAATTCAAAGCCACGAGGCCTCAAAACCCAACCCAAAAAATTCTGAACAACCCAACAAAAGCCCTAGAGCCTTGAACTCGCAATCGTTGAACTCTACAGAGCCTAAACCCTTTTCCCGATATCTTGAACCCTAAACTCGTGACTTGATAAACTGCCCAAATCTGGCATAAAGAATACTGGCCCTAAACCCTAAACCCCAAGCCCTAAACCCTAAACCCTGGTGAAGCATGAGAACCTGAACACACAAACAGCCCAAAACCTGATCCCCCTAAACCCCAGGACCCGAATCCCCAAAACATCCCCAAAACGTCCCAGAACATCCCGAAACCCTAAACCCAAGACCGAAAACATCCCACGGTTTAGGGTTTAGGGTTTAGGGTTCAACATCCCAAACACTAAACCCTAACCCCAAACCCCAGAACCACCACACATCCTCAAGAGAAGCTTCCCAGAGACTCCCATATCCCTTAATTAAGGAATATACCTTAAATCATACTAAGGATCCTACTATAATTTATGGAATCTTCCTTAATTAAGGAATATTGGAGT